TTGAAATATGTTTTTGCCTGTCATAGAGCTGTGTACAATCTTTCTATACCTCTGCGTTTCCTTTACACCAGAACCTGTGCACTATTAGTTTCATGAATTGTGGGTAATGGAAACAAGGGCGAGGGCATGAGCTGTGGCGTTGGAGAGTGGATTTGCTTTAGCTTCGTTGGATCTTTTCTGTAAAGTGCAGTACTTTGACAGATGACCTTTCTTGGACCTATCCAAGGTTCCATTTTCTATTTTGAATCACATGCCCTATGTGAAATGTGCTTGTGAAAAGTGTATCTTCAAAAATTAGAAAATATCAACTACTTCTGCTTCACCTCACAGCTTCACACTCACCCTCATGCCAAAGCTACTGTTTCCCCAACCAACCTTACCTTATCCTAAATACTTTTTATTTTAGATTGTTTATGAAGTTATATTTTATGTTCAAAGAGGCATGTTGTTATGCAAATGCCCTTACATAAAACATCATGTTACCATGTGGTGATATAAAGAATGACCAGCACCAAGTCACCTCAGCACACACTGTTCTGAATCTCTCCTGTCTGTTTTGTCATCATCTCCAAATATCAGTATTGATTCAATTCAAACCCTAACCCAAATACAGATGAATAGGCTTGATACTTGGTACTAATTATTATACCACTAAAATGATCTTTTTGTGGGATAATAAGCTCTCATTCATCCATCTAAATATCTTCTGCTTTATCCATGGCCGAGTTTCGTGGGCACCAGTCTAAGCAGTGATGCCAAGATTTCCCGCCAAAGTCTCTGGAGAATCCTGAGGTATTTCCAGGCCAGCTGAGGGACATAGTTCATAGAGCAGCGGTTCTACTCAGAGCTCCTCCTGTGTGACTGTCCTCTAGGAACACCAGATGCCACAATGGTCCAGCTATAGAGTGCCCAAACTGTTGTTGTGTTCTTTGGCAAGACACTTCACCCACATTGCCTTGAATTAGTCTGGTGTGTGTGTGAGTGGTGGTCAGATGGGCTGATGGCACATACTTGTTGCCTTGCTTCCGTCATTTGTGGCTACAGTAGTTGTTTATCACCACCGTGTATGGAGTGAAAGTTTTATACATAAAACCAATGCATTATTATTATTACTCTTAAGATTGACTATTATACAGCTCTCCGAAAATTAGATGTAACCTACCAAATATTACATATTATTTTTGTGTTTCCGCATCCGTCCTTTAGAGGGCACTATGTTTTTACTGTGAATGCTCCGCCATCTTGTGAGACGTTGGACATCATATGTAAGAAAAAAACGATGTACAAAAGTCTTTAAAATACTTCTGAAATGTGTGATTAACAACTTGTTTTGGGTTCTTAGAGTTGATAATAACAGCTAGAGGCACTGGAGACAAGGATTTTTTTGAGTTTGTGTGTTCTTGATCTCCTGTGAGTCTATTTGACAACAGAAGTCATCTCAGAGGATATTAAGTCCTCTGAGATGACTTCTGTTGTGACCTAGGGCTATACAAGAATACATTGTATTGTATTGTATTGTATTGCTATGCTAAGATAGTTCATGACCATAGACGGTATTTAACGGACGTAGTCACGCCTATCTCTACTAATGGGCCGTTCTAACTAATGGGCCAAAAATTGGCCTCTCATGGAGAGATTCAAAATGGCCGCGGGGGCTGGAAAATTGTGAAAAAACGCATCTGCGCATGCGTCAGCCGGCGCAAGCTCCATTCATTTAAACGAGAGACTTCAAAAATTCACAGCGAGTAAACTAGACTGGTCCATAAAAATTCACCCCCCTCAGCATTGACACACATGTGGAACGGAGCTTTGAGCCAAGAGCCAACTTTTGGACCATCCTGTAAAGGTGTTTTTGAGAGGTAAGAAGATGCTATATATATATTCTTATTCCGGGTAATACTGGTAATACGGGTAAAACTAATTTCATGGAACTGGCGCTGGTGTTTTCTCTGTTTGTTTGGACCGTGGCCTTCTCTGAATAAGTCAAAGATCGTAGGGACTGCTGCTTACACTCTTCTTTTGGTAACTTTCATTGCTGCCTCCCGGGGCCGTACAAAATACACCCATTTTAAGGTTTATTTGTGACAATGCCATAAACAGTAAGGCGGGAGCTAAACATTTGTGGTCTAAAATTATTAAGCCTCCCTTCCTCCTGTAGAATCCTAGAATCACAGCGGTTCACTTTATACAGGTTACATATACTTTGAAGAAACCAAATGTGAAATTACACTTTCTCTTTAGATGTTTTGGATCGATTAAGACCTTTTAAATGTCACAAAAAGTCACAGGATTGTCCAATAAAAACTTGATCTGGATTCACACTATAAGATTTCCCCTATTATAACAGGTTTGCCAAATATTTTAACTGTTAGAGCCTTTTCTGTACGACTTGGAGAAAGCATTTCCTCTTTGATCTAATTACCCTGACTCCATGTGCAGGGGCAACAGGGACATCATGGTCAACTGCGCTCTGGTCTGGATGGACAAAGAACACAATCATTTCTGAAACATGCTCTTACAGGAATGCTTTCACACTCTCCTACATGACCCTTTGCACACATCCTGGACTACATACTGAACACTATGGGATGCAATTAAATTGTCTTTACTGGATATACTGAATATATATATATATTTATATTAGTATCTACATTTTGTGCAGCGCGAGACCTATGATTTCCTTGTCACTTTATAAGCTGTGCATGTCATTGGTGCATCACTTATGCTAATATGACAGGGGCAATTCAGATGCTCTTAACCTTCAATTTAAAGTGTCAGTCCTGTTGTTGTCTTTTGTCGAGCCCAGTCTTGCTGTCTCGCTTTTCAGACTGAACTGTGTCATTTTCATAATGGAATATAAATGCTATCTTGAGTGCTAGCTTCTGCAGTGTAATTGAAACACTATGATCTGCTGACGTGACATATGGCAGCTATGCCACGGATACCAGTGGATACTAAAAGAATTAACACATTTCAAAACTGGAGAAACTACATAGACAGGAAAGTTGCATGAAATTATTTATTTGTTTATTTGTTTGTTTGTCACCCTAGGCCCTGGCTGCGGCACTTTATCTGTGAAGATCATTCCTTGTGTGCTATTTATAGTCCTTCGGGACTTAGGTACTGATGGTGGCATAAGGGTGAAGTTGTGATGAGAGAGTGCGTTCGAAGGTCAAGGAGGAGGTGAGGAGGTGGTGGATTCGAGTTGTGAGTAGAAGAATGTGACGCCAGAATGAACTCCTTGCAAGGCGCGAAAAGGGTTAGTTATTGGGATGTTTCCGCTGATTGGCATAGGGGAAAGAGGCCTGCTTGGATTGGCTGCAGCAGGTAACCTACCAGACTGAATTTCTGCAGGCTGCATGTTATCATTTTTTATTATATAGCTCTTCACAGTAGAAGTCGACCGCTACATTGATTTGAAATAAATTTCAAAACGTTGTTCATTCATTAATTTTCAACCCCCTTTTTAGTCCATTTCTGGGTCGGGGGGTGGCAATGAGAGCTGCCCCCCAATGCTCAAACCACCGGTCCCTCGCTGATCCTCTGCAGGTGGTGAGTCCACAGCGGTGCCACAGCCTTGGTGTTTCAGCGGGAGCTTCAGGCAATGTGGGGTAAAGTGTCTTAGCCAAGGACACAACGACAGCAGACATTAGTGGGAGCAGTTGGAGTAGGTCCCGTGGTGGGTTCAAACCCAAGACCTTCCGGCCCATTTCTTGATAATGGCTCTCTCAAACCAATAATGATTGCTTTCAATGGCAATGCAATTCGGGCAAATAGTCCAGCCACTTCGTGAAAAAGCTTCTGGAAATAGGTAACACTAGCAAATTTACTCTAGCGTTATCTATTTCCAGAGGTGCTTGTCACTACATCTGTGTCTGCGAGAGAAGCTCTCGGAATTGCTCCTGAAGTTAACGGGAGTCTGACTTTCAACTTACCAAAGATTCACCACCATTTCTCATCTTCAACTGGAACGTCCTGTTAAATATAGATAAGTAGATAGCCTAGGGAACTATTTTATTAAAGTATAATAGTTCTCAATTTTTTAGAATTCATAAAAGCTGACTTAAGTTTATTTTGTGTGATCAGTTGGCAGATAGGCTTAATAAACTATAAGGATAATGTCTAGAATGCAGGTCATTATCGGAAAATAAGTACCGAGCACGGTGAACTAAGATCCAATCGTTTCAATCTGCAAAAGGATTTAGCCCCTCCCACCTGTTTGTACGAAATGGAATGTGTGCGACGGTTTGGTAGAACCAGGCTAGGGAGAACCGGTCCCTTATCCCTTGCAGACCCATCCCTTACACATCCCTTTCATATTATTCTGAAAATTGTCCTAACCACAAATCCCTTTGCCCATTTTCTTATTCACTGTGTGTGGGTGTTCCATGTTCAAAACGCTCCGTATGGAAGCTGCCTTTGCTTGTTTAGTCTGTGTGAGATATTTCCGCAAGTAACTAATAAATATAATGACTATTCTGATGGTAAGTTGGTAACTATAAACATTTTAAAAGTAATATGTTGCTCTACTTAGTTTTCTTCAAAAAAAAAAAATTCTAATTACAGTAACTAATTTCTACTTACACCCAACACTGATCCCAACAGAAAGAGTCTTGGAAAAGTAAAATGTTGTGAACAAATCAGGCAACAACACACTGTATCAAAACACATTTTGTCTTTTGGAAAGAGCGTGTGGATGAGTGAGGATGATCTTCACTTTTTCACTTTTCTTTCTGAAAAAGTTTATCTCAGGATGTGACAGAGGCTGAACATACATATATGTAGTAACTATTGATAAAACCAAACTTTCTATGCTAGGACCCAGTTATGAGATAACTTATATTAGTTATTATTTTTCGTGGTTTGAAAATACCCCAACTTTTAGTACAATCCATCCAATACAAGCGTAAACTGTCACAACTATAAATAAAGCATTGTGTTACATTTTGAAAGCATTGCATGGTGTCCCCTCTGACTGCATGTGTCTATGTTGTTGGCAGGGTTCGACTGGAGGCCTTCTCCGACAATAGTGGGAAGCTGCAGCTCTCTCTCCAGGAGATCATTGAATGGCTGACCGCCAAAGACGAGGAGCTGTCAGAGCAGCTGCCCATAGGGGGCGATGTGGGGGCTGTCCAGCACCAAAGGGAATTCCATCAGGTAGGAAGAGAATCCCCACATTATAATGCAGCTCACTTCACACCTTCACCTCCAGGGAGCAACAATTAGCACTGAATCAAGCGCACGTACGCTCCTATTGATGAAGGGCTCTTTGCTCCTATTTAATGCTTATGTAGCCGAACATGCTGCATAAATGCCCCCCGTGAGACAGAAACCATTAATCGTGTGGGCATTTTCATAAATGAACTAAAATTACCCCAACTGCCTTCTCCAAGCTTGTATATCTTTATATTTGAAGTCCATGCTGTGTCTCTATTGCTTTTTGGCATATGGTATCCCAATAGGAGAACACAAACCAAGTATCTCAGCTGTTCACCTCGGCTGTTTGAGTTTTTGAGGTCTATTTAAGTGTATGAATAATGCACACACATTGTTCCCCTTGGTGCAATATTTGTATAATGTGATCGCAGGCCGCGGCTCAAAGTTAAAGGCCATTGGGGACAAGAGTTGCTGACAGTGGAGTCTGCTTCCCTCTGCTCCTGCCTCAGATCATTCTTGTTATGCTTCAGTGAATCAAACTGGCCTTGAAATCTATTCAAGGGCTTGCGAAATGAAGGACACAAAAGCTCATCATATCAGGCTTTATTGATCACTGCAGACTACATCAACCGCCCAAAAGAAAGTAGACTAGTGCTTATTACAATCTGCACACTAAACAAAAGCTTAGTAGTATTAAGATTGACAGATTTATGGAAAACTCTAAACACAGAAAAGGGCAAACACTGAATTCTATGACATCATACATATTTTTTTCTGTCAGAAGTCGGTTGTTAATAAATCATTTTACATCCATATTGAGATGTTTAGAATAATTTTAATCTGTGACACCTGAAGATTATTACGATATTTTAGTATTATTGATTAGTATTGATGATGATGATGATGATGGTTTGTGTACATTTAGCATTGTGCAAGCTGACAAACAAAAGAATGATTTTTTATGTTTTTTAAAGGGGGCTTGATTTACGCAGGACTCAAGTAAAGCTTTCTCACATCCAGAAGGAGAATTCATTAAAAAATCTGATGTCACTGGGCAACTCGCCTGCTGCAAGGATTTGAGAAATGATTAGAGTTAATTAGGGATTCTTTGTGTTTATGAAACAAGTCAGAGTTGTTCTTTTGGGGCATGATAAAGATCCAGCCGAATGTTCCACAAGGCAGAATGTGACTTGACGGCAGCTTAGGGCTTCAGTGAGATTTGGCACTAATGAGAGATTTACTGAGATCACAAGGCACAAAATGTCCCACTTTGACAGTTAGCGTCATGACGCCCTTTTTACCTATTTGTAAATGCACATACTGTATCTGGAGAAATATTGGTTCTACCTTGAGATCACATTGTAGAATCCTTGTTGTTGTCAATTCTTTATTCATTTTCATACACACAACCCACAACAACAACATACAAATGCTCATGCACATACACACAGACGCTCACACACACACACCCAGGTCCAGGACACTCTCAGACCCTGTGGAAGTATAGTATATAATTATTTTAGTTGTAATATATAATTGTTTTCCACTGTCCTATGATTTTAAGGAATTTTAGGCACGTTTCCGACCAGTTTTGATCATTTCTGTAGTCAAAATCGCTGAAATCCTATTTTTCCTATTCAAAGAGACAGGGTAAGGCAGCGCTCCTGCGTGCCTCACTCCAGATCGCTCGCTCACACAGTGGACTGTGCGAGTGCACACAGCTCGTGCTGGTTGATATATCGCTGTTTGTTTCAAATATCCTGCATTGAAAACATTTGTTAAACTTCTCATCGTTTTTAGAAATGTATTGCACGCATGTACTATTTATATTTAGTTTAAGTGTTTTGATCGGAGAAGAATACACGAGGAAGTATCTGTGCCTCACCGATAGGGGGCAATACTTAGCATGAACTTCATACCAGAGCACCAGTATTTCTTTTGCTGGTTTTTTATCGACTGGACTTTCAATCAAAGCAAGAAATAATATAGACTGAGAGACCACCACTGGACTAACAGGGTTAGTCCGGCCGCGGGAGAGGAATTTGTCAAACTCTGTGTTTTATATTGGAAATTTACCAGGGGGGTGGCAGTCAGAGCTGCACCCAGTACACAGAGCACCCCTCACTGATCCTCCTGCAGGTGGTGACTCCACAGGAGCTGAGCTCTTTCAGTGGGGGCTTTAGGCAAAGTGGGGTTAAGTGTCTTGCCCAAGGACACAACAACAGCAGTCATCAGTGGGAGTCGTGAAGTAGGTCTTACTGTGGGCTCGAACCCACAACCTTTGGCCCAACTGAGCCACTGTTGCCCCCAGAAAATATTCCAGTTTTCCAAAAATGTCCAGTCAAAAGTCCATACCGAGCCGAATATGGCATTAAGAAGGTGGAGTGTTTGCAAGTAATACCTGATGCAATTTAAAGTTTGGAATTGACAGTCCGCCTGCAGCTCTGTTACATTGATCGGTGGAAACTTAAGGCGTGGCCGTTTGCTCTTCCAGATACAATTTGTGATGGAACTGAGCAGCCTGTAGCGAGATATACATGGAAGTGGGACCATAAAATGAAGAGTTGGTAGAATTCAGCTATAATCTTAGATAATGCACCTCATCAATGAATCTTAAAACAATGAATATAGACCTGAGTAACCCGATATTATTTGTGGAATTATTTCACTGTACTATACATTTATAAGGTGGAAAGAGCTATATAACCTCAGACCGGCATAGTGTTTCTTTGTTGTTGTTGTTGTTTATCTGTTGACATTCTGAAAAAATCTCATAAGGCCATTTTGCTTATGTGTAAAACATAACTATGCAAAATGTGGAGCAAATACTTGTAGTTCTGCCGCTCACACAGATGCTAAAAGGACCTCGCACAATATTTTTTCTCTGATGGGTGAATTAATATGCAAAATTGAATGCTTCTGCCAACATGTGGAAATTTGAGACGTAGGAAATGCAAATGAAGGCTATATTTATGTTTCAGAGACATGCGCCAACTTTTTCACAGGAGAGGGGCTGCACAGATAGCGCTTTTGGCTTTAAGAGGGCACAGCTATATTTGTAGTTGTTTATTTACCATCTTTTAACCAGGAAAATCCCATTGAGATTCAAAGATCCCTTTCCAAGAGTGTCCACGCCAAGAGACATTCACAACATACACTTCTAAACAAGAAAATTTTATATACAGTGAAACATACATTTTTAAAAACCTGCTACAGAATTAGGAGCAGTGACAGGTCGTTGATTGCGTTTCCATGTCTTTCAGAATGATGCCAAAATGGTATATTGGTACAAAACGTAACAGTTTTCTGTAAACGACTGAAGACAATTTTTTCCCCCATTTCAAATCCTGAGAAGAGTGACGTTCAATAGAGCTGCGGTGGTGATAAACACTCAGAGGAACTACATCTTCAAATCCTTTACTGTATATAATATCTACACACGGTTTAAAGGAAAATGCATCATCAAAGCAGATACCCAGTTAATGAACAGCATCCACAACTCCTAAATGTCACATTTAGGGAAAATAATCCATATAGTTTTGTTATTCACTTCAAAATGATCTGTTCTTGTGTCCCAAAACCGTTGCCATTTTACAGGTTCTTCTTCCCTTAAGACATGTTTGAGAAAGAAAAATGTTAATATTTACAATTCAAAATGTCAGTCGTTTAGCTTTCATAACTTTTTAAAAATGTGGCAATGACAGGCTCGCAGAAACAGCTGCGCACCTCTCCTCTCACTGAATACTCCCATTGTATTTCAGTTTATCTGCAGAAATAATGTTCTCTTTACTCATTTTTAGTTTTTAGGGCTAGTTTAGTAGAACCCATTACAGAACAGCAGGATTTAAAGGATATAAAATAAATAAAATGAACATGGTAAATACAAGGATAGATAATTAAAGGGACCTGCAGATACATGTCCCCATTACAGCAATATATATATTTATTAAATGTTTATCTATAATTCAATAAAGTGACATATGTCAAGCCTTTGTTTGATGATGATTTTGTCTTGCAGACCATTTAGTAGTTTATTTTTATTTTTTTTAAAGTGGGATTGTAGTAATAATGACCACTAATGATGCATCTCACAGACTTTTTAAGACTGAAAATCAACTATAAAGCTATAATTAAATGATGAAAGGGCTCGCGTCTCTAGGGATCCTTATGCTCTCAGTGTAAATTCCGAGTTAGAGACTGAGAGCAATTCTCCCCATTACAGCACAACCAAACATCCTGAGAGCTTCATATCCTGGTGCTTGGTATCACAACAATGTGTAATTGCGTATCTGTCAAATACTCTGCTTCTCCTTGTATGTATTTTTAGACAGTTTTTATCTCAAAAACAATACTTCTGGAACAGCATGTAGTTTTTCCCTCTGTTTTTCCCTGGTCCAACTACAAGCCAAGTGTTGTGTGTGAAATCAGTCCAGTTAATGTAACAACTGTAGCTGTCACTCCTGATCACTCTGTTCCCTATATGTGTTTTTCTTTTAAGCCAACTCCTACACTATGGTTTCCTTTTCGACAAACTAATATCCCCTTTCAAATCTTTCCAATGTTCCATTTTTAGCAAGGCAGCGCTTTATAATCTCAGATGCCTCCCATACCTTCCCAGTGAATGGCTGCTCTGTAAAACTTCCACCAACAAAGCAGACGGGGAAATTGCATATTAGTTTCCTTTAGAGAATTAGAGCGTTTTAAGAAATGTGAATAATTGATCATAAGTGGATTTATTCTGATGTCATTTTTGCAGTTTTCGGGGAGCGGGGGCTGTGTGGTTTCAGAGGGTGTATTAGAGGAGGCGATAGAGGAGCTTTTGCAGAGTGGAAAAGTGAGCAATGGAAGAGATTGCTCACTTTGAGGTGACTGTCGAACTCTCATGTTCTCAAAGCTGAAATGAAAACAAATCCCTCTGAAATGCCAATGAAAAATATATAGGAAATGTCACGTTTTTTCTTTGAACCTTTTGTGGGGATTTTGTTAAATTCTCTCACACATAATTTGACCATAAAAAAGAGTGAAATTAAAAAACTTCAGTCATTTGTAGTTAATTAAATTGATTGTTA